TGCCCAGACACATCTGAAATTTTTATCCTTGAAAGAAACCCTATCTACTAGGAAAGGGGATGGGGGCCAGGGAGCTTAAGGGGTAGGGGTGTCCCAGGGCACTGAACTTTGATCTCGGGCCCCTTGAGAAGCTGAGGGAACCCAAAGAAATATGAAGAAATGCAATTTTGCAAATGAGGTGGGGGTTCCTTCTGCAGCCCCAGTCATCGGTCCCCCCTCCTTCCTCCTTAAATCCAAATCCAGATCCCTAAAACCCCAAGCCCCAGTTCCCCTCAGATCTGGGGTCAGAGATGACAACCTCAGGGGTAAGATGCCAAAGATCTCAGCCAGCAAGGGCTGACAGGGCTGAGAGTGAGAACTGCCCCGGTCCCGGGACTCTTGCAAATACTTCAAGCTCCAATGCCTACACATTCTGGGCAGGGGCAGGGGTTCCCTATGGCACCCCGTCTGGGGAGGTGCCCCCAACTGGAGGGAACCTGGAGGTAGAGAGTAGGACAGAGGGCAAGCGACCCCCTTCTGGGGACCAATGAGCACTGCACGAGTGGAGGGGTCACACTCAGTGCCCCCCACCCTGCCTGGCACTCTCAGAGAGAGACGCTTTCTTTGTCCCTTTGTCAGCTCTTGGGGGCCCCCTGAGCCCCCCTGGGTCTCCACTGCAGCGAGGGGTATCCAGACGGTATCCAGACGGGCTCTCTCGGCCCCCCGCGGCCCCTCCCCTGTGGCTGGGGCCCTGGACTCGATCTGAGACAGGCAGGAGGCTGGAGAGGGCTCAGGGGCGTCCAAGGTGCGGTGGCTGACGGTGAAGTGGGATGGAGGGGCCTCACCGCGCTGGGACCACCACCCAGCCCTGGGTGGCCCTGACTTAGCCCTCAGGGCCCCGCCCCCCCAACACCCAACACCCGTCCTCATCGCCGGCCAGCAGGCCCCCTGCCCATCCCGAACCCCCCCCCCCCCCAACCTGGGCCCAAATCCAGCTCCCTAGCGGCGCAGCCCTGAGCCCCCATTATTGTCTCTTAAGCGCCCCTCCCCGGACAAATTACCCGCTGTGGTGCCGACAGAACCCCTATTATAGCTCCACATACAGGCCCCCAGTCAACATCCAGTCCCCCCCCACCCCCCAGCTGCGGTGCCATCGGACACCCCCATGACGAAGCCTCATTCAGCACCCCAGGCCCCAATCCAGCCTCTTCAAGGCGCTGCCATTGGACCCCATGATAACCCCCCACACAGCAGCCCCTCTAAAATCCAGCCCCCTCTCCAGCGGCTTTGCTGACAGATCCCCCCGTGATGGTGCTCCACAAGCCTCCGGCTCCAAACCCAGCCCCCTCCCCATGGCGGGTCCTCGGGACCCCCCCAATCACCGCGCCTGACCCGGCCGCCCCAGCCGACAATGAACCCCCCCAGCCGCGCGCCGACAGACACCCCCAGGGCAGCGTCTCCCCAGCCCCCGCTCGCAGACGCCCCGGGCGCTTACCTCGGAGCCGCGGCCGCCGCGAGTGCGCGGGAGGGAGCGCGAGGGCGGGAGGGCGCGGGCGGACGGGGGGCGGGGAGGGGGGTCGGTGCGCGCACCTGTCCTGGCCTGGCTGGCTCAGCCGGGCATCCCGATGGGGAGGGGGCTGGGGGCGCGCGCTCCCCCGCCCCCGGGCCGCGGCGCTGCGCTGGGGGAGGGGGCTCAGCCCCGGCTCCCCGGGCGCTGGCGTCCGCTCCGGGGAGGGCGCTGCGGGGCGGCCGGACCCGGGGCGCGCCGCGGCCGCATTTTTCACGCCCGCCGCGGCGGCCGCAGCAACTCGCGGCTAGCCACCTCCGCCCCCCCCCAAGTCGGCCACCTCTCCCCCCCAAAACCGGGCCGGAGCCACGCAAAACGCGGCCCGGATTGACAGGGGTGCGGAACGGAGGGCGGCAGAGCTGGGTGGGGGGCCGGAGGCACTGGGGACGGGATGGGGGGTGGGGGTGGGGGTGGGGAGAGAGATCCAAGCGAAGGCTTCCTGCCTTTGTCCGGGTGGGGCACCGAACTGCGCACCCTCCTACCTCCGGACTTCCTGCTCTGGTCCACTCGGGCCAGACTCACATCCTCAGGACATTCCCAACCACACTCGTGGATGAGGGGGGCGGTGTCAGACACCCCCGTGGTCTCCTGGGTCCCCTTCCTATGAGGGTATTTATTCAATCTCCAAGCATTAACTGTAACACTCAGCAGACACGTGAGACAACTGAGGCGCAGGGAGGCATCTTGTCCAAAGTCACCTAGTAAGAACGCGGGGATTTGAACCTGAGCCAGCTGGCTGCAGAGATCATGGTACAGAGGCTGTCCTCCGTCCCAGCGTCCTGCGGGGCCTGGCGCAGAAAGAGGTTCCTAGGGCCCAGGAGGGGCATTCCTGCCCCTGGCCTTTGGGACTCCAGGACAAGCTGGTCTTCTGATTCCAGAGACATCCCTGTAAGCTCCTTGACCCTCTGTGACCTGAGGACAGCGGGAGCCCCTCTCAGGGCCTCAGTGTCCCTGTCTGTCCAAAGCACCTCCCCATGCGGGTGAGACAATGTATTCCCCCCCCCCCCTTGTTCCTCCAGCACCTCCAGTATGCAGTAGGCAATCAACAAACGTTTTACTATGATGTATTTATCTAGCCACATGTCTTGCACACCTACTGTGTACAGGGGCGATTTCTGAGCCCTTGATGCAGAAGTGACCTCATTCACTCCTCAGGGCAGCCCTAGAAGGCTCCCATAGATGGGAAACTGAAGCACGGAGAGGCCAAGGAGTTTGCCCAAGAGCACAGGCAGATGGGAAGGGAACATAGTCCTCTTGCCACCGATTATAAAGCACCTTCTATGTGGGCGTTACCCATTGCGTCCCATCTTTGGACCCCCAACAGGCTATGTGGCTTCCCTGCATGACATCAAAACATAAGCCCTGCCCTAGCTGGTTTAGCTCAGTGGATAGAGCATCGGCCTGCAGACTGAAGAGTCCTGGGTTCGATTCCAGCCAAGGGCACATGCCTGGGTTGTGGGCTCGATCCCCAGTAGGGGCGTGCAGAATGCAGCCAATCAATGATTCTCATCATTGATGTTTCTATCTCTTTGTCCCTCTCCCTTCCTCTCTGAAACCAATAAAGAAATATATTAAAAACAAAACAAAAACTTGAACCCTGCTCCATGGGATACACTGGGTCCTGAGCAACTGGGTTCTTCCAGGGCCTGGGCATCTGCCCAGGGGCCCTCCTGGTGACCACAAACCTCCGCCAGCAGCCAGGCCTTCCTGCCAGTGGTTCTGCCCTGACCTGCTTTCCGGCAGAGCCAGAGTCCCAGGCAAATCAGCCTGCACCTGTCACCCCTGTGTCCTGCCCACCTGGGGAGATGACACCTTCAACAAGGAGGGGGCTAAGACACAGCACCTCTGGGTAGCAGCCAGGCTCTACACCTTCCTCTGACCTCCATACCATTACCTGTGCTGTGCCCACCCCCTGGCATGCCCTCCTCTCTGGCAACCTATTCCTTCCATAAACATTTATTGAGCACCTACTGTGTACCAGGCCCTGGGCTAAGCAGTCAACAAGACAATCCAGCTACCTGCTTTCAACCTAGCAGGGAGACACAGGAACTGAGGCTGAGATGACTGGGCACTGTGACTGGGTGGGGGCCCCGGAAGACCATGAGAAGGTGATTTGGGGAACCCCAGAAGGACAATAGATGGATTTGGCAAAGCACATGAGGTGCGGGGTGAGGGGTGGGAAGGGAATCCTAGGCAGAGGGACCTGCTTGGACAAAGGCCCTGAGGGAGGCCCCACCCCCACAGGCCAGCTCAGCTGCCACCCAGTCTTCAGCAGCCATGAATGGGTCTTTCATGCCCTGGACCAGGGCAAGGTCAGGCCCGGCTGCTCATTTCCCCTTCCCACCCCTTTCCTCTCCCAACTCCCCCCTCACGCCTTGGGCTCCTGACTGTCTGAGCCCTGACCTGGAAGAGGGTGGCAGGAAGTTCACGGCTCCCCCTGGGGTGAGTCAGGGAGGCCCGGGGAGGGGCAGAGCCTCACCCAAGGTCACCAGAGCCAGCAGCATCCTCCTAGTTTGTGACTTTAAGCGAAGTCCCGCCCCTCTGGGCCTCAGTTTCCCCATCTGAGCTGCCGGTGAGGCAGCACTGAGCTCCCGTCCAGATCCGACCCGGGAGGAATCCGGTGCGGGTTTTGCGGGCGCCCGCGGCACTGACACCTCGTGCCCAGCGCGGCCGGGCTGCGGCCCCGGGTCGCAGGGGCCGGGAGAGACCCGGAGGGGCCCGGAGGCCCCGCGCCGGGCAGAGGCTGAGCCCGGCCCCGGTGCCAGGCGCCAGCGGGGAAAGGACAGCCCGCCCGCAGCCCGCGCGCCCCCGTCCGCGCTCCCGCCCGCCGCCCGCTGTGTGACTCCCGCCCGTGCTGCCCGTCTCTGGGCCCGCGGGAGCCGGGCCTGGCAGCCGCACACCGGCCCCGCCCCCCTCGGGCGGGTCCCAGCCGCGGCCCCCCCGCCGGGTGCGGGCCCCCTTTTGAGCCCCGGGTGGAGGGTCGTCACGGCTGGGTCTGGCCCCAGGTCCCTGGTGTGGCCCGGGAATCCCTTTGGGGCTCGGGAAGGACAGCTCCGATTGGCCGAGGCCTCCTGTGACGTCAGGGCCTCCCCGACGCCCCCTCCTCCAAAGGCACGTGGGGGCGGCCGCCGCAGGGGAGGGGCGCGGGGTCCCGGCGGATTTGGGGTGTCCCCCCAGCCTGAGCCGGCAGCTGGGCGGCGCAGACGCAATTCTCCTCGGACAGATTTTCCCCTCGTCCCACATCCCCCCCGGCCCCCCCAGAGCGGCAGCTGCTCGGGCGGCAGATGCGCCGGCTAAATCCGCACAGCTGGTCCCTCCGCGGAGCTAACCGCCTGGAGTCCTTGGGGTGTGTGTGTGGGGGGGGGGGGCTGGGGGGGGCGGTTGTGTGCGTCCTGGTCCTTACCCTTTCCCGCCCCTGCCCTTTAACCCTTGCTTTCTTGCAGGGGAGGGGGGTTCTCTCGTGGACGCTTTTCCAAGTTCAAATACCCTCCTGGAGGATTTCGGTGTAACTGGTGCCCAGAGAGGGTGTGGACCGTTCCAGAGACGACACGGCACCGTGGGCCTGTTGCCAGAACGTGGCCCGTCTTGTGCATATATTAATCGTTAGAAGGATGAGCTGACATTTATCCAGCAGCTACTGAATGCAGCCCGGCGACTCCAGAACAAGGCTACTGTTATGATCCCATTTTCAGGCGTGGAAACTGAGGCCCAGAGAGAAAAGGCTTGGCCACTCACATAGCCAGGAAATGGGGCTGGATTTGTAAGCCCACACTTTTCATTGTCTCCATGGGCTCTGGGACCCCTAGCTGGGAAGGCTCTTCAGGCAAATGACTTGGGACCTGGGCTGAGTGAGTAGGGTCTCGGCGACCTGCTTCCTGCACCCTTTCTAGGCAAATCTGAACCTGGATGGACCCTCCCTTCCTTGCTTCTTCAGCCCCATCACGAGTACCACTCTCATCTGGAAGCTCTGAGGAGCTCTAGGGGGACTTCCGGAAGGAGGAAGCATCACTCGGAAGTGTTGGAGGTACAGCTGTTAAGGGTCTGACGGTGTCTCTGAATGTGTAACTCTGTACCTGCCCCAGGGCCTTTGCACTTGCCATTCTCTCTGCCTGCAATGCGCTCCCTATAGATTTCTTTTCTTTTTTTTTTTTTTAAAGGGGAGAATGATGATTTTTATTTTTCTTTTTTAAAATATATTTTATTGATTTTTTTTACAGAGAGGAAGGGAGAGGGATAGAGAGTTAGAAACACCAATGAGAGAGAAACATTGATCAGCTGCCTCCTGCACACCCCCTACTGGGGATGTGCCCACAACCAAGGTACATGCCCTTGACCGGGATCGAACCTGGGACCCTTGAGTCCGCAGGCTGACGCTCTATCCACTGAGCCAAACTGGTTAGGGCTCCCCAGATTTCTGTATGGCCCCTCTTTTCCTCTAAGTCTCAGCTCAAATGTCACTCTGCAGGGCGGCCACCGTGACCTCTGCATCTATAGCAACACCCTGTCCGTTCTTTCCTCTCATCCTGCTCTGTTTTTCTTCATTTTATTTCCACAGCCAAGCATTGCAGATTGCCTCTCCCACAGCACCATTTGTCCCCTGCTGGATTCCCATCGCCTAGAACAGGAGTGGGGGACGTCTGGTCCATGGGTCGCTTAAGGTCTGAGGAATCATTTGGTCTGGCCTGCCAAGGCATTAGGGGTGAGTTAATTAAATGTTTGACCAAATAGAGCAGGCTAATTTTTAAGTTGATAATTTTGCATGGCCCGTGAATGAGGTATAAATATACAAATGGCTCTTGGCAGAAAAAAAAGGTTCCCCACTCCTGGCCCAGAACAACCCTGGCACACAGTAGGTACTCAATAAATGTTTGTTATCCAGAAATCTCAGGGACCTGAGCATGAATGGAGGCGGGAGGGCAGCGGTAACCACGGGGAAGGCCATATGGGAGTTCTGTCTTGGTGCGTGTGTCTAGGAGCCTAGGCCATGGCCCTGTCCTGTGCCGCCTTCATCCAGAAGCCCTCTCAGGGCCAACCCCCTCCCACTTTCCCACCCTCACTCTGCTTCAGCCACATCGACCTGCCCCTCCTCGCCATTCCTCCAGTAAGTCAGGCACAGTCCAGCCTGAGGGCCTTCGCACGGGCTGCTCCGTCTGCTTGGGAGGATCCTTGCTGTGCTTGGCCAATGTCACTTTCTCCAACAGAGCAGCTCTTCGTCACCCAGTATTTTTCTTCTAAGATCATCTTACTAATTCATTCTTGAATCAGCGATGGAGTGGTGAGCTGCGCCCCCTTAGAGGCAAGCCAGCAGGTGGTGGAATAGGTGTGCCCACTGCGGGCTGGGGTCCAAACCTCGGCTTTGCCACTTCCCAGCCGTGAGCAAGTTGTTTAATGTGAGGATGTTTCAAAAGATGCCCGGGCCTGGCACACAGTAGGTGCTCCACGAAGATGGGTTTCCTTCTCACTTCCTTCGAGGTCCTAAAGCTCCCCATTTCTTCCTCTTAACTCTTTCCTTGGAAGTTGTGAGGAGCTTTGATGCCCTTGACATTGTTCAGGGCATTGTCTACAGAGGGGGGAAAAAAAAGACAGAACAGACACCTGTATGTCAGGAACAGGTTTTTGCACAGCTGTGTTCATATCAGCATACGTACAATGGCCAGAAGGTGGGAACAGCCCAAGTGTCACGGGTGATAAACACAATGTGGTCCATCCAGACAGGGGAATGTTACTCAGCCTTAAAAAGGAAGGAAGTTCTGACACCTGCTACATCATAGATGAACCCTGAGGACATGGTGCTCAGTGACATAAGCCAGACACAGAAGGACAAATACTGTGTGATCCCACTCACAGGAGGTCCCTAGAGGAGTCAGATCCACAGAGACAGGAAGTAGAGGGTGGGAGCCAGGGGCTGAGTGTGTGTGTGTCGGGGGGGGGGGGGCGGGGGTGCTGGGTAGTTAGTGTTTCATGGGGACAGAGTTCCAGTTTGGGAAAATAAGAAAGTTCTGGAGGCAGACGGTAGGGATGATTATACAATCATGTGAATGTGTTCAATGCCACTGAGATGTACATTACAAATGGCCAAAACAATAAGTATTATTATGTATAGTTTACCATGATTTTTTTTTTTTAAAGAAAAGCTGTTTGGAGGAAAAACCAGATGGGGACAGTGGAGGGGGGTGTGAATGACCTCAGCCAGTGGCGGTTCCATCACTGCCACCAGGGTTAGCGACTCAAGTGATGCTGACGTCAGTGGGTGGCAGTGCCCTCGGCAGGTGCTGAGCTCAGGAACTCCACACCACGCTCCGCGTACCCTCTTGCCCTTCCTGGGGCCAGCTCGGCTCCAGCTACCAAACCTCCAATGTCTTCAGGAAGTAGAACCCAGCCTCATCGGCCTATTTATTCAGCTAACTTTATTGAGCACCTACTGTGTACAGGCTCTAGGCAGTGACCGAGGCTGAGCTGGTTATGGGAGAGTTTATGGTGAGCCAGTGGGACTGTCTGATTGAACTTTTAAAAAGATCCCTCTGGCCCTAACCTGTTTGGCTCAGTGGATAGAGCGTTGGCCTGTGGACTGAAAGGTCCCAGGTTCGATTCCGGTCAAGGGCATGTACCTTGGTTGTGGGCACATCCCCAGTAGGGGGTATGCAGGAGGCAGCTAATCAATGTTTCTCTCTCATTGATGTTTCTAACTCTCTATCCCTCTCCCTTCCTCTCTGTAAAAAATCAACAAAATATATTAAAAAAAAAAAAAAAAGATCCCTCTGGCTGTCTTGTGGAGAAGGATGCACCCTGGACAGCAGTGGCTCAGGGGGATCAGGAGAAGATGACTGCCTTAGACTCGGGGAGCGGCATGGGACCCCGGAGCAGGGAAGGGCTGTGGCGGTGGAAAGTGATAGAAGGATTTGAGAGGCATTTTGGAGGCACAGGACTTGGGGAGCGAGGAAGAGGGAAGAACCCAGAAGGATTCGGAACTTCTTCCCCTCAGCCTCCGCCCCAGCCTGGCTCTTTAATTCTATCTTCCCCATCCTCCCTGGTCTCAGCACATATCACCTCCTCCAGGAAGCCTTCCTGACCACCCTGACTCAGTCTGAACTGTCTGCCTTGGTCCTCCCAGCTTCCCAGCTCCCAACACAATGTCGAAGTCCTATGTGTTCCCTGAGAGAAAGAAGGGAGATTCCAGAGTTTGGGGATCAAACCAGTAAGCTTCACCTCTGGCCTTAAAATCTCATCTGCATCTCCCAGGGACAGTCCCGGCGATGCCCCTCTTTCCTTACACATCTGGCAGGCGGAGGCAAGGGCAGAAGTTGAGCTCCTTGGGGGAAACTGAGGCTCTCTCAGTTGCTTCCCTCCACCGTTTTCCCGTAGGGGGTCCTGGGGCTGGGGGCTCTGACCCAGCAACTACCGGGGTGGGCACCTCGCCAGGAAAGATTCGGAGTGGGAGAGAGGCAAGGCTGAGAAGAGCTAGCAAAGTGTCTATTTTTCCTCCTGCGGCTGTATTTATAGATTCCCTTTGATGTCCCAGCGGTTGGCTGACCTGGTTCTCTGCCATCATGGGAGGAAGACAGGTTCTCGGAGCTGCTCCTTGGAGCGGGGCGGGAGGGGCCTGGGTGTGCAGAGCCTGGTGCTCCCTGGCTAGGCTCCTGGGCTGGGGAGGGCAGGGAGGGAGCTGGCCTCGGTTGGCATGCCCACGTTTTTGGTAAGTTTTCTTAGCAGGTAGAAAAATAATAACGTAACAGCAGCCGTAATAAAGCAGTCCTATTCACGGAGTGCTCCCAGTGGGTCCCTCTTGTACAGCGTTGTGACTTGGAGCCGATTGCTTAGGCTCTCTGGGCCTCAGTCTCCACGTCTATAACAAGAAACCTCTATTAGCGGTCCCCACAACCTCATTTGGTTTTGGGGAGAATTTAATGAGCTGATCCATATAAAGAAGGCACACAATAGGTTATTTCTGTTGATATTGATTGGATTATTCACCCTGTGAGTCATAGAGCCTCGCTCTGTGCCTCAGTTTCCACTTCTTGTGAAACTCAGAATCCTGCTCTAAGACAGAGTTTACTGATAGAAAGACTCTAAGCATGGCCCCGGGCACATGCACGCACTGAGGGTGTGTTGGCTCTCCTCGTTATTGGCTGTGAGGGTGACTAGAGAGGTTGACGGGCTTTCCCCAGGCCACACATCGAGGCGAGGCCAGCGCTGGGAGTCGAAGTAGGGTCTTTCCAGCAAAGGTTGGGAGCAGTGCCAGGTTCCCTGTGGGGTCAAGAGGGCCGGCATTGGGCCTCTGAGGACCCGGCGCCCAGGCTCCAGGGTTAAGCCTGTGCGGCAGCTGAACTTCCGCGCATCTACTCCTCTGAAATCCCTGGGAAGCAGGGCATCAGGTGTTCCGGAACAGGCGCCTGCTCTTGACAGACCGGCGCACACATGGAAGGACAGCTGGTGGAGGGCTGGTGGGCCGAGGGGAGAGGGACCCGGGGAAGGGGCACCTTGGCCAGGAAAAGGTCACGAGCTGCCCCAACCTGCGCACCCCAGACAGGGACCAGGAGCCTTCTGTTTCGTGACAGTCGTCTAGAACCTCAACTTTTCACCCACATCTGGCAGTTACCGACGGAGTGCCTGCTGTGTTTCAGGTGCCCTGCTGGGCCTTTAACTTGAGTGTGAAACTGAGGCTCAGAAAGAGGCGATCACTTGTCCAGATCACACAGCAAAGGAATGGCCAAGCTGGAGCCAAAGGCAGGACTCCTGCCTCAGGGCCTTTGCACTTGCTGTTCTCTCTGCCAGGAACACCCTCCGTAACCCCTAATGCCTTTAGCCCTCAGTTTAGATGGCACCTTCAGCAGGAAGTCTTTCTGGACCCACCAGCTCCTGGACCCCCACAGCTGCCTGTGTGCCCCCATCACATTCCTCTGACCCCCATCACCCACTGGACCGCGAGCCCCCTCCTGTGGGACTGTACCCTGGGCCCCCAGCACAGGCTTGCAGACAGCAGGTGCTCCATGAAATGTTTGTTGAATAATGTGAATGAATGAATGAATGAATGAATGAATGAATGGTTGATGAGTGGTGTCCACATTCCTACCCACCCCCCATTTCTAGATGGGCTTCTAGCTGGGAAGTGAGGTGGAGAGGTCTGTGCCGGGATGTGAAGTGGGGAGGGGTGTGGACAGCATGGTTTTGGATGAGGAGCCTCGCCCAGGACCCGGGGTCCCAGGTCAGTGGTGTTTGCAGATATTTGCTGGGTAATCAGCTGCAGGGAACCCCTCAAAAGTTCAGGCCGTTCTACATATCACAAAATATGAGGGTGCTGCCACAGCTAAGGAGGTGCAGGGAGGTCCCCACCAGCCACAGGGCTGCGTTTCTATCTGGACTCTCTGGGAAGGGCTGTCCAGGCCACCCCCTCTGAAGGGACTGAAAGATGAGAGGGGTACTCAGGAAAAGGGGGAGAGCGAAGGGGATTCAGGAGGGGAAGGGGCTCAGGAAGGGGTGGGGCTGAGAGAGGGGAGGGGGCTCCATGAGACTGGGGGGGGGCACCGGAAGGCCCGCCAGCCTTCTGCCCTCCCCTGGGGCCCCAGGACACCAGGTCCCGAGTGTATCTTGTCTCCAGGGTTTCGTGTCCATCCAGAAACCTGACCGCGTCCCCAGGTCTCAGCGTAGCCCCCCATCCCTCCTCCCCCCCCCCTTCTAGGGTCCTCCAGGTTCTCTAAGATCTCCCCTCCTCCCCTAGTCAGCTGTGTCCATATTTATAGCGGTGCGACCAATGTCACTTCACTTCCGAAATGGATTGTGCCCCTTATCCTGCCTTCAGAACCCCTCACACCTGTCCCTGGGGCGAGCCTGGGGCCCGCGGGTCGGCGCGTCTTTCTGGAGCCGCAGGGGGAGAGCTAAGGTGCCGCCCGCATCAGGCGCCGCCCTCTCCTCCCCGAGGCCCCGCCCCCCCGAGGCCCCTCCTCCGGGAGCCCCTTGTGTCCCCCCCACCCCGCCCAGTGCCACCCCCACTTGGAGCCCCGACTGATCGCAGGCCCCTCTCCCTGCACACCACCCCCAAGCCGCCTCGTTCCCAGGCCCCCACGGCCCCAGCTCCGCCCTCGCCGCTCCGGGCCGGGCCAGCTCATTGTCTTGGACCCGGGTTCCAGGGGGCTGGGCCGGCGGGGTCTGCGTGCGGGAGCCGTCGCCTGCCTGCTGCCCGCCCGTCTCTGGGCAACGCTGGCAAACCTCGACCCGGGACACAGAGGCAGCGCTGTTTCCTGGGAGGTTCCAGGGGCATTAGGTGAACCCCCCACCCCCCGGGAAGGGGGACTGGGCAGGGGGCAGATCTAACTGCCCAGGTTGGAGAGGGGTGGTGAGCGGTGGCCACGGGCCAGACTTGGAGTTCCCGATTGCGGCAGCTGTGTCTGGGACTGTCCCCCTTGCCCACTGAGTGGCCGGTTCCCCCACAGCTCCCTCCATCTCCCTGCCGGGGCTGTGTAGGCCACCCCGAGCCCCTGAAGCGGGGAGACCCACCCAATTCTGACCCTGTCTGGATAGTCTCTAGGGAGTGGAAGCAAAGCCCCCCATCCCCCCATTGTGGCTCCCCTGATGCAGGGGCTGCAGGCAGGATCCCAGCTCTCCCCCTCCCAGCAGAGGTGGCGGCAGCTCTCCCCTGTGCAGAGAAGGGGCCCAGCCCCCTCCATCTGCCCCTTGGTCACCAAGGTGGGTGCTCCTGCCACCGGCACCCTTCCCAGTGCAGTGTCCTGGTGAGTGTTTGGGGGTGAGGGTGGGGGTGGGGGAGCAGGAGAGTCATTGGAGCAGATTCTAGAGGGAACGTGAGAAGGGGACGTGGGGACAGTGAGTGTGGACAGAGGACTCTCGGGAAAACCGGGTGGTCACTGGATAGGCATGTGGGATCAACAAAAGAGTTTTAAAAAGTGCTCTGAACAGTGTAAACGCTCACCAAAGGGATGCTGCTAAATATACTTTTATTAAATAATAATTAAAATCATTATCCTAATGACAGTTATTACCAGTTCCCGATGCTTCGGGCAAATCCCAAACTGCTCCCAAGTCTGCCAGCCCTTCAACTCACAGAGGAAGGGCTTAAAGTGACAGCAGGTGGCCAGGGGCTCCCAGCCCCGGGGCTGAGCCCAAGGTGTCCGCGTGGGGGAGGCGTTGGTTCTGATTTAATGTGTGGCTTCAAAGCCCAGGAGGCTGCAGCGTTCTGCCTCTCCGGCTGTCAGGGAGCAGTAATGAGGCCTCCCCAGGGAGGAGGAGAAGCTGGAAACAGCTTCTAGAAGCATGGCGGCCAAGGGGGAGAGCCCGAATCCAGGCGGGAGGTGGGAGGACCCCGGCCTGGCCTTCCCCAGCTGCCAGTTGGCGGGTTGTCTGGGAAGGACTGCACCCAGAGCTGGGCCTGAAGACTGCTATCAGTGAATGCGCATTTATTGAGCACCTACTGTGTTCTAGGTTCTGGGAACACAGTGGCATCTGTAACATGTTAATGAAAGAAGCTCTCGGAGAGCTTCATCAGCGACTCCATGTGCGTGAGGAGCTGAAGGAATGTCCTGAGGAAGTGATGCTTTTTTTTTTTTTTTTTACAGAGAAGAAGGGAGAGGGAGAGTTAGA